AGCTATGATTGCATCAGGTCTACGTAACATTGATTCGTCTCTAGGGGAGAACCCGTAGCCCATGGATTGAGATTGCATCCCATTACCTATTGACTGGCTTTGGTGGCCCAATCATGAACCCTTGCGGTGGTCTGTGGATCTTGAGAACCGCTGGGTCAGTTTGAGCAAGCAAGTGTGGATTACAGTCCACAGTAGAAGGTAGAGTGCTCAAGCGATTTTATAATTTCTAGACCTTGTCGGATCTGATTCCCATCAAAATTATTTATTTTTAAATATTTTGCTATTTTGATATTAAATAATTTTAAATTTATTATTTGAATTTTTTATAAGTCTCTTGATATTTTATTTTTACAAAATAGATTTACAATTTAAGAAATATTCAATTTTCAGTTTTTAACATTCAGATAAAATAAAGTTTATTTCCAATTAATTAAAAATTATTTTTATTAATTTTATAAATCATTAAATTCATGAGGGCCCATAAAGAGCTATGGGCCCACCATATTATAATAACACGTGGGAGCATTTGAGTGGGGTCCACATGAGGCCATCTAGGGTGGCACGGCCCACTTAAGGAAACTTTGATCACTAAATTTTGTTTAAGCCATCTAGGCTTGATAATCAAGTTAATGTGATTTAGAATATTTGGTGATTTGATGTTTGACTATTCAAAGATGGAATGAACAAAAGAGATTATTCATATATATATGATATTATTTTCTATATTGCAAATGGGATTAGGTTTTGGAAGATGTTCTAGTGCCTTCTTTTGAATCATGATAGCTTATCTAAAAATTGGATGGCTCAGATCTCTCACCCAACAAGTCTCCTATGATCAATGGTTTACATTTGATCTCCACAATGTTGGCTAACCCTAAAGAGACCCTAGCCCATGAAAAATGTATATATAGGGGTCTTCTCTCCTCATATTCTCTACACCTCTCTCTTCTATCTCTACTATCTCTACGTAGGGCCCATGCCCCACTTAGGAATTCTCTCTCTCCTCCTAAGTTCTCTTTCTATCTTATCTCTCTTAGTTAATAGTAAGAGAAAGGGGCACACCCCTACTAGACTATCAAGAGGGGGGGCACGCCCCACTCGTGAGATAAGACATTGAGGCCTTAGGTTATGTTATTTCATTCTCTCTTGTTGGTAGGGTTTGGCCTTAAGTTTTTCCTTGCTTAGAATATTTGAAATAGACCATTGATCCTGCCATTGGAGGACGAGACCCAATGTGGGATGTACTAAACTCGATTGAGGTAATTTCCGTCATTTTTTACTTGTGCTTTGTAATATTTCTTCTTATGTCTTTCTTATTCTCATAAGCATTGTGTTGCTTTTATTTATTAAATAAAAAAGTTGTATTTAGTGGTAGCAAGTGAGAATCACTTTTATTTGTTTATTTACTTATTTTCAAGAGAGTTTTATTGTACTTGAACCAATGTAAATGATCTAATCGGTGATATATATATATATATATATATACACACACTGTGCTAGATCATCTTGTCCAACTTTCACTCAAATCTCAGCTTTTACTGTTTTGCAAGTGGTCACCATAAGCCATCACTATCTTTGTGCTTTATCATGAGTTCTTGCTTTCCATCATCAGCTTTCTCCATAATTTCTACTACATAAAGCCTCTAAGAGACTTCTAAAAGTCTTTTGCTATCAGTTTCTTGATACATTGAACATGGCAAACCATAAACTACAAAGATCTAAAACAAAATTCGATGCGCTATGAAATCTCTAAACCCTTAATTCTTCTTTGGTTGATTGGGTTTTTAGTTTTATTTATTATTTACTCTTTTTTTTTGGAGGAATAGGGTCTGATTAGTATCTTGAATAAATAAAAATAAAATCATAAAGATATTCATGAAAATCATGCACAAGTTGTAATCAAATTCTTTGTTTTGCTATTATTTTTTCAACAAAAGAAATATCAATACTTGATTTAAGCTCAATTTCTTGTTAATCCTCATGGAATTGATTCTTGCATCTTATATCTAAAATCTGATCATTTGTGAATATCTTATAAGTGAAATTTCATAAATAAATTCGCACCTAAATAAGATTATCACTGCAATTCTCGTTGCTGATTTTTTTCAACAGAGAAATCAGCAATGATTTGGAAATTTAATTATGATTTGTTGATGATTTATAATTTATAGGGAAAATTGCAAAAAAAAAAACCCAAAAATAGACTTTCTAATCAATTGACCCCCAACCTAACTTTTCCTAGCAACTTCCCCCCAAAAAACCATGTTTCCTAGCAAATACCCCCAATACAAAAATTTCATTTTTTTGACGAAAATACCTTTCTCTTATATAACAAATCATTTTCACTGGAGAGGGTGGTTCAACGTTTGGAAGAGGCAGTCCGGTGATTATTTTGCTGGAATGGGCAGTCCAGCGTTTCATTGTGGCGGTTCGGGGATTATGCTATTGGAGAAATGGGTAGTCCGGCGTTTGAAATAGCGGTCTGACATTTTGAAGGGGCAGTATGGCGTTTTGAAGTGGTGGTACGGCATTTTGTAAGGGCTATGGCGTTTTAAAGTGGTAGTTCGGCGTTGTACAAGTGCGGTCTGGCATTTCCTTTTATTGGGATCCGAAAATGATTTGTTATGTGCGGGAAGGGTATTTTCATCAAAAATAAATAAACTTTTTGTATTGGGGATATTTGCTAGGAAACATGGTTTGGGGGGAGGGAAGTTGCTAAGAAAAGTTAGGTTGGGGGTAAATTGATTAGAAAGTCCACTTTTGGGGGTTTTATGCAATTTTTCCTAATTTATATGCAGTCATTAGGTTTATTGATATTATAATATGTGAAAATGCTATTTTTGCAGCAGAAAAAGCAGTCAAAAACTCATGATTTGATCTAGTTTATATAATCATGTTACTACAAATTATTTATAGAATGAAGGCCTCAACTTTTAATAGGCACTATTGCAGAAGGAAGAGTCAACTATCCAACCAATGTAAAGAGGGCAAGTTAGAAATGAATCTGAGGATACCTATGCCCCACCAGAATTTCTGGCACAATCACCTGATTTACATGATGAACCAAACATCAATGAAATGGAGGAGGTAGTTCATCAGAGAAACTTGTAGCGGGTTACCACTACATCAACTACCCCTCACAACAAAAGGAAGAGTCGTACGATTGCTGGCCATCTAGTTGTAAATGCTTTATATTAGATAATAGAGCGAAACACGAACTGTGATCAAGATAAGATGAGGGAAGCAACTAAAGAATATTATTTTATGGAACTTGCCTAGAGGAGTTGCAAGATTTACAAGAATTTTCTGCAGCTCAAATGGTTGAACTAGTAGAAATTTTGAAGGATGAAACAATAAAGTCCCATTTAAGAAACTAAAGGAATAGTTCATCAGGATTGGTTATACCAAAAATTGCTAAATAGTATAACTCAATTGTTATTTTCTATTTTCTAGGTGACATGAACATGATATTTTAGACAGCATCAAACTTGGTTTAAAACTTTATTTATAATGATTTTGTAATCAGCTAGACATGGATTTGAGATTTGTTAATAATAGTTGTGATTGTTTTACTAGAAATATTTGAAGTTGCTCTTATTACCTAATATGATTAGGGAAAGCTTCCTATACTTTCCCTACACCATATAAGATATATACTTTCCCCCATCCATCCAGCCGCCCAATTTAGATCAAGTGAACTTTTGAGGTTTGATCTATGATCCAACGTTTTAGAGTATTTTATTTTTAGTTTTTTCTACAAATTATATGAATATGAAATTTGATGCGTACTAACATCTCAATGGGGCACAATTAAAAAAAATTTAAAATTGAGAATTTTTAATAAAATATAGTGATCAAAATACCCCTTGTAAATTTGAGGGGTATTTTTGGATACTTTATTTTATTAAGTTTTTTAATATATTTTTTACACATGCAAATTTAATAAAGGAGTGGGCACCCAAAAATTGGTGTCAAAATAGTTTGTAAAAAACATTAAAAATAAAATAGTGGAGAGTCATGACATCGTGATTGGGGTCATCTCAGCCTTCCATTCAGAATGGACGGTCGGATAGGGGGAAGTATATAAGCTTTATACGGTAGAGGAAGCATAAAAAGCTTGCCTATATTATTATTGATATTCTCTTATTTTTATGTGATAACTATTTAATGACTGATAAGGCCATGTTATAGAAATATGTTGTAAATTTAGAATGTTATAGGGTGATTTATTGATTAGGGTGGACTTTGTCAAAATTGGTCAATTGTGTCCATGGACCATGAATCTGAAGAAGAAAGCCAACAGGAGACCTGGAAGAGCGTACATGCAAGAAGGTAACAAGCAAGCAAAAACGAGGGAATGGGTCTCAAAGCGCCTTAAAATTGCTAAAGTTGAACACGGCTCATATTTCAGATATATGGAACTAACTTCACAAGTATTATGACAGAGCGAATTTGGCTTTCTCAAGAAGGTTTAGAGAAGATTCAATTTTAGTGATTATAGCTCTTGATGAATAAATCAATTTATGGGTTACTTTCCAGTTCATCAAGGCACCGGACAAACTGATCCCCTGTTTTGTCAGCTTTGTCAATGAGCCAGAGATAAATGCCTCCCAAAGAGTTTCCCAATCAAACGAAGTTCTGGATGTTTTCCCAATCCAAATCTAGGAACAAAGTATATGTACTTTGGCAGTAAGAAATGAAAACAATATTTTAATCTAACCATTATACCAATGATAGTTTCTAATTGCTGAATGCTTGCAAAATCTGCACCAAGCAATAAATGTATCCTGAACTAGTCACCATTAATAAAGGTCACGGAGTCAAAAACACCTTTGGTCGAATGGTGAGAGACCCCAGTTTGCAAGAGAGAGAGAGCTAAGTTTTGAAATTCCCTGTCGAAAATTATGGCCATAAAATAGTTTTCAACAATCCAAATCCAAAAGTTGTGCTAAGACACTCAGGTGGAGCCAAGTTACATTCAGCCTCAATAACTGATGATATGAAAAAAAAACTCAAGCCCATAGAATGAATAGCTAGTTCTAATGACAAAACGATGTTAGAAAGAGATCAGCTCATCTGTTTTTACTTAATACAGACTTCTTTTTTTTCCTCAAGAATAAAATAGACCAAGACCTGAGTGATCTCAAGCTACAGTACTATTTGCCACCAACAGAACTAAAAGAAAAACAAAGGTGGCTAAGAGAAGACATACAAAGCCAGGCAAAACTGATAGTACAGGTGTTACAAGTTGCATATTTTTTATGTGGTTAATCTCTTGAGAAGCAAAAAACCTGATAATTTAGAGTATGTGTTGAAGGTCAGCATCCTGTCTTGCTAGCTCAAGCAACATAGGGTCATCAAAGAACTTGCTGATGCTTACATCCTCGCTCATTCCCTGCTCGCAATTCCCCAACCAAACAACAATGTCATACATGCTATAAATTATGTCTATCAATAAAAAATACATACTAAAAACCATGCCATCCCTTACAAAAGAAACCTAGAAAGCAATGATCTCATTTTACCTTCCGCCGCCTTGTCTTCACCATGAACTCTCGTGCAAGGTGCTGAACAGGTGCAGGTTCAAGTGGGCGAAGGACCACAGATTTGTCAAGAGGATCTCCAGGAACTATGGCCCAGTGATCAAATACAGAAACGCAAAAGGCCTGCCCTTGGGTGTGATATCTCAAGTCAGTCTCAAACCCAAAGGATTCTATGACTGGCAAAAATGCCTGCATACAAACAAGGGAAAGAACCATCAAGAATCAAAACCATGAGAGCATTAAAAAAGGTAATTGGAGTGATCACGACTATTACAGAAAAAATGTGTATTTCTAGAAAAGTACATATCACATTGTTAAGGTGTATACAAACAAGGGAAAGAACCATCAAGCATCAAAACTATGATAGCATGAAAAAAGGTCATGGGAGTGATCACGAATATTACAGAAGAAATGCGTATTTCTAGAAAACTACATGTCATCTTTTAACCTTAACAATATAAGAAGGGGTCCCTGGCTTAGGAACATCGGCTGTAACGTGTCCCCTTCTTCGAGACAAGACTGTATAAATTGCAGAAACACAATCTATCGGGGTTTGAATCTGTAACAACCAAAACAAGCATAACAGCTGTGGATTACTATTGAGAAAAAGAGATTCGAAGGGATTTTCATTTTCCTCAAGCAAAAGGGCCATCACCTCCACATAATACACCGGTTCCATCAAACGTGGCGTTGCCATAAGGAAGGCCGAATATGCTACACGACGAGCAGCAGGAATTATCTGACCACCACCACGATGCAGGGGCTCTGGTGCAATAGTAGCATCCAATATTTTGAATTTGACATTACGAATGGGTTCATCACAAAGAGGCCCTTCACGAGCACCCCACTGAAACCTGGTGAGAATAAAAATGATTTAGAATCGGAAGTAGAGATGATCTGGAAGAGTGAGCAAATGCATTCTAACTTACCCTTGAACAATTGAATCCTTAACAGCATTCAGCATATTCTTGTCAACTTCACTAGGAAGTGTATCGTCCAGGAGAATGTTGGGTCCCTAAAACACAACACCAATCTTTGAAAATTTAAAAACCCAAGACATTGCTAAATGCATAAAAACTAGCGACAACACATGGCCAACTGAAAAGAATAGTCTACGGAGGATAGAAATAGTTGTTTCTTATGTTATTTTTCTCTTGTTGCCCATCCATATCAGGCAGAGAAGATAAAAGGAATTATGACTAGTTACAAACTAGTTCCAAATTCCAATCAGTGGAAACAAGAATCAGCCAAATGTGGAGGGTCATCCAACTTATTATCAAATAGTCAAAAGCAAAAACCCCATGCAGGAAAAACTGACCTAAAAGGGATAAAGAACAAAGTGGGTTGACGGCTAGATCAAATCAGGAAGAGTCTGAATATTGTTTAAGAATGATTTTCAGTTACCTGCTTATCCGGACCAAAAGCCCATATAGACCGTGCTGCAAGCAAATCCCAGTCATATTTGCTTTGGAAAAAGTCACCGAGTTTCTTTCGAGGCCAATCTATGCTGACAACACCATTCTCTATATCCTCCGCCAATCCCTTTTCCAGTGGTTCCGCAAGCTAAAAATTTACACTCAATCATATTAAAATCAGGGGTGTTACCTCAAGACATTCCATATTTATAAGAACAGAAACAGGGACAAAAAATTATTTCAATTCCCACCATGGTGATTTTGTTTTTCTTGTTGGGCGTTTCTGCAAAGCATTTTATTGATGAGGATTCCACCACAGTTTCACAGAAAGAGACCACAGGATCAGCCACCTACATAAACAAACAGATTCAGAGATATTTCAGAAACATAAAATGGATAAATTCTACCTCATATCCTACACTTCCCATCAAAAACACGAACACAAAAAAATTCATGCATGTGCAAAGGTACAGATCACACGCACACGCACACCATGCTCAAGTTGTGTGTACCATCATAGGAAAATTTGTGACCCCATGAGAAGGCGCACACACAAAGGTATGGATCACACACACACACATGCAGGCTCTAATGCACACGCAAACACACTGAGAGAGAGAGTAAACATTGAACTTTAAATGCCCTTTACACCAAAAAGGAACACAAAGAATCGCCTTTTCTAATCTAAAGCATCAATTAGGCATAAAGTATAAGCACACCTTGACTTCAACTTCAGAATAGAGCTCTCTAAGATCCTTCATAATAGAATCCAAATACAACTCCCCAGTCCCCAAAATAGTGTGTTCACCGGATTCCTCGACCTTTGTTATGGCAAGTGGATAGCTCTTGCTAATTTTTCGTAGACCTTCAACCATTTTGGGCAGCTCACTGGGATTCAAGGGTTCGGTGGCTGTTTTCACAACTGGAAGGGTGTTAAAGCGTAGAGGCCGAAATATGTAGATGTCTTCATCCATATACTCAGGACAAAGAGTGGCAGTCTTCATGATCGAAGCATCAACACCTTCAATGAGAACCCAAGAACCAGCAGGTGCTTTACTAATAGGAAGTCGATAACGTGCTTGATAGACCCACAATTTTGTAACTTCTTTAACAGTCATGTCCTCTTCATCTTCAGGTGAATATCCTTCCCCAAGGACACGTACAGTCTGACCAGTTTGGATGGTTCCACTGTAAACTCTACCAAAAGCATCAAAGACACTGCAGTCAGATTTAGGGAAAAGCTTGGTTACATTAACCATGAGGGGACCTGAAGGATCACAGTCTTTCATAGCCTCAACAACTAAAGAGTCCTGAGGCCCGGTATAAATGTGCTCTACCTTCTTAATTGCAGCATCTTTCGCAGATGGGATATGTTCAACCAACATATCAGTGAAGCCAGTGGCTGATCCAAAAATCGAGCTACAAGCCAACCTTAAGAGTGGCCTAACATTTAACTTGTATGCTGCATTACTTAGGGTAACACCCAGCTCTGCAAGAGTAACCTCCACACTCTTCCTGTGTTCTCCTATCACTTGGCTGTATATTTTGTACAAAGGCTCAAGCAAAAACTGCACAAATGATCTCTCACCTCCACTTAGAGGGGGTTTTCTCTTAAAAGTCCTCTCATTTGGATGATAATATATATCTCCCCAAAGCAAAGATGCAAATCTAGCAGCATCAAATGGTATGCCATGGAGTTTCACATACAATTTAGCAAAGGATTGTAGGGTGAAAGACCAACCAGCACTAGCGCTAGCAAAACAAACATTTCCAGCAGCTGGATCAATGGCTTGGATTCCTCCTGCAGTGGTAGAGAACGAAGAGATAAAATCGTTTATCACTTCTAACGTGTGCCTTAGTTTGTGGTATGCATCAGCTGGTGGTAGTTTCAGCTCCGTTATCAGCCTATCTACCTTCAACAAAGAAAACAGAAAAGGGAGATTCACATTTGGGCTGGTAACAAAAGCATGCATATGCATGCAATCGAGAGATGGTTGAAGGAATAAAACATGGAAAGATCAACCAGGAAAAAGAATGTATTAACTAAAAAAAAGGAAATACCTTATTTATTACAACTACAATCGGAAGCCTTTCCTGAATGGCATGGCGAATAGCTCTCTCAGTGTTCACCTGCTCAGAGCATTGGAAGGATCATGTCAGATAAATAACATACAGAATGAGCGTTTTCATACACCCCATAATATTTTGCGATGTATACAGACCAAATGAATTTTATAATATGTTTTATGCCTTTCCTTAGATGAAAATAGAATCCTCATTGAAATGGACATCACTGGACAATTGGCAAGTCCCAGATTTCTATTTTTTGATGACTGATGCAGCTTCCAAGCAACCAAAAGTACAGCAATTTGTCCTTTTACTGTACACAAATTCATACTTTCTAACCCAGACCTACGAAATGAACAAGTTCCGTAAAGCCTATGTATATCATTCCATTGTAAATTTTATAATTTCACATTCAAGAAGATGATACCAGGAGTGTTTGTCCAGACCATCATTCATAAAGGCTAAATGAGAGAAGCACCAATGCCAACAAGAACAGGGTTTGACCTCAAATTTAGTGTAGTGAAAAGCAGAGCAAATAGCAATAGAAGAATGTAAGCACATAGTACAATGAAGTTCATGCAGCATCGCTGCCCTAAAAAAGCGACACAAGTCTGTGACAATTTGGGTCAATGTCACATGTGTGTGAAGGGAAAACCACAAGGAATGCCACATGATCCCTTGCTTCGGCCCTCGTGGAGTCATAAGTATTCATTATCCCAGCTTGATTATCCCTGAGAGTGCACACCATGCCTGATGTGGCATGGGTTCCCAATGTAGCTGCTTTCAAAATCAAGTTTCAAAAGTTCCTTTGGCAGTTTCCACACTAAGCTCTGGGTGCTGGTCTTATTGTTTCCTCCACTAACTTCATATATAAGATCATCAATGGATCCCCTTGAGGAGATTCCATAAAAACATAGTCCCTCATCAATTCTGATCACCTAGGTCTGCCTCTGAGTGGGAGGCCCAAGAAGGCAGATGAGGATCCATACCAAGGCTCTGGGAAGATTGGTGGATTCGAAGAACAGGTGTTCTATCCCATGAGGGTTACATCTCAATTCCATATTGGGTTAATCTTCACCATTACACCTAAGTCTAAAAGCCATGTCATCAAGAAAATTTTTGAGAAAATCGAATTAAGAAAGTCATGTGGAATATCTTCTTACTATGAGAGCCAAGAGTATAAGTCTCATAGGTTTGTAATTTCATGAGAATAAAGAAAGATTTGTACACCAAAAGATCAAGGTGGACCATAGGTACCAAGATCTCCTACTTTGGCAGGCACTCCCTTCTAGGATCTCAATTCTGTCGCTCCCAAAATGGATCTCTCAGGGATCTCGATTTTTAAATATTAGGATCTCGAACCCCACTCATAGGGATCCCGATTCCTACTGTTAGGGATCTCGATCCCAAACTTAAAGACCAAGACAACATCAAAACTAATGATTTTCTTTGTTTATAGCCAACTAGCAAATCAACTATTGCTTCCTTGCTATCAATAATAAGATCCCTACTTTAAAGAGTATATATAATCTTAGATTATCATGCACTTTAAGGTTGGTAACAATATCCCCAAAAAGTTCAGATCAAGATCCCAAAAGGTCGGGATCAAGATCCCCAAAAGGTTGGAATCTCGATCCCTAACATGTGGATTGTATGGACGGTGTTCCCAACCATAGGGATCTTCGAGCATTTCACAGTCCCTCGCTCCCGATCCCCATCCCGATCCCGATCCCGGTAGCGTTCCTGCTTCCGATCCCAACAACTATGGGGTCGACCTTGTATGCATGATTTGAACGTAATGGATAGGCCTATATCCAAATGGATACCATAATTAAATCCAAATAAGGATGGATAAGGCACAATGTAGGAAGTACTTAATACATATATTTTCGGACTAAAGTTTGAGGTGATAGTAGGAAGAGTGGAAGTAGATTTGGGATCCTATATCAAAGGCATGCCTCACATGGTAAGAAGTAGCTTACTAGCAATTATGGTTAAGGGGATTCAATGTTCTTTCGGAATGATAAGTGGTGCACTAAACTAGAGAAAATAAAAGGAACATTAAAGGCATAACACATACAGTAAGAAGTAGCTTACTAGTAATCTTAGGTGACGGGAATCAATGTTCTTTTCGGAATGATAAGTAGTGCAATGAGAATTAAATTACAAAACACAAAGGGAAAATCAAAGGCATGACTCATATGATAAGGAGTAGCTCACTAGCAGTCATAGGTAAATAGGTAATAGTAATCATTGTTCTTTTTGAAATTATAAGCAGTGCACTAAAAATTATAGAAAGGAATAAAAAAAAGTAATGCACTAAGGCACTTAAGTCTCAATTTCATTGCATAGGCAAGGTGGCTAATGATATCCAGTGTGAGGTAATTACCAAATAAATAAATTATCTGTAATGAAAGGCAGAAGATGGTTTTCCTCAAGGGTCTTAAGTGATCAATTGGATGCTGACCCTTGGAAGAGGGATGCAGAAGGAAAACAATTACTTGAGTTTATGGGCACTATCCATGGTCTACGTAAGGAAGACCAAGAAACAAGATATAATTGTGTGGGAGTTAGATGTAGAGCATTTTCTCCATTGAATCTGCATATCACAATCAATGTGAGGAAACAAACTATAGGGTCTTTCCTAACCTACATTTATGTTTTCTATTGGTCAGCCGTAAGAATAATAATCTTTGTTTCCTGTTGTTAATTGCAAGCAATATAGGGATGGTCACACTGAGAAGTGTTTTAAAATGCAGGATGTGGCCAAAAGCAGTGGGGGGTCGATGCGACGACACGGCTTGATGCGGTCGGGATGAGGGTGCATAGTGTCGATGCGGTCAATAAATATAAAAAAATTCTAAAAAACTAAAAAAATTGGTTAAAGCATAGAAAAAAATATAGAGGTGACATATGTGATAGTAGGCATTAAGTTTATTCATCAACTCCAAAAGTATTAGCTGTCAAAGATTCTATATTCACTATCCCCTGATAGAAACTAGAAACTTGAAACTAGCTTCATAAAACATTCAACAATCAACAGCCATAAGCACAAATCTGCAACCACAAACTTTAAAGTTACAAAATACTACAAACTAAAAGTCCATGAAGATTAAAGAGTTTTAAAGTAAAGCTCAAGAAGAGTCAATACAATCATCATCATTTCTCAAGTCTTGAGAGTGAGCTTTTAAGTTTCAATTTTTCAAATACTAATTAGAGAACTTTCAACAAATAAAATTTCCGCCCAAAATTTTTCTTTGATTAAAGCGATCCAATAAAAGCCACGGATGTGGCTGAAAAATGGTGTCATTTTCGAAGGTCAAAATGACCTTATTACCCCTGCCCGAGGGGTAGGGTTTAGAAAACAAATGGTGGAAGATTATGCGGTCTAATACGGTGAGATGCGGGATGTGGCCCTGATGCAGAGAGATGCGGTGCATATGCGGGTATTTTCGATGCGCTTCCCAGCGCATCACACCTGATGCGGTCGCATTTTAAAACACTATCGATGAGATGTGTTTTCTACGTAAATAGCACAGTGGTACAATTTTATTGCAATCTTTTGGCAAATTGTTTGGCATAATTAGATGGAAAGAAATGATAGACTTTAGATAAATCAAGGACAGGTGCCACAGACATGAATCAAGGTCATCAGACAGGGCAAGTTAGAAACCAAAAGAGTTGCCATTATAGCATTCTTTGGATTGATGAATTCTGAACTTCTGGCCATCCTCAACTAGCATTTAAAACCAAAGACCAAAGATGTTGTAGGTTCCCAACCCTTCAACTCCAGAAAATGGAGGCAGCTAAGCTACAGATGTGGGTCTGCACGTTGTCCCAAGGAACAAGAATGGAGTGATACGAAAGAGCTAAGCTAGGAGACTAGGGCATGAAAAGGCTCTACGTGAGGCAAACCCATCATAGACTTGACACATGTTCATTTTGAAAGGGATTTTGAAGTGCCAGCTATTATTGAGGGTGAATAATCATAGAAATCAAAGACTTACTATCCAGTTTCTGTAGTTCAGATATTATATACATTTCAAAGTTTTTTTTTTTTTTTTCCCAGACCGAACCCCAATTATATTTTCTGCCCATAATTTCATCAACTTGATCTAAGGCATCTCCTTACAGGGACATCACTTTTTAGTTACAATAAAGAATAGTTAATGGTTTCCCTCAAACCTATCTATCCCTGGACACAATGATGCCCAACTCTTCCTAAACAAAAGAAGAAACATAGATGATTTAGTCCCCTCCACCGAGGGGAGAAAAAAAATACAATTCAGCACTCCATATTTTCATAGCTCAAAATAGAAAAAAAGAAGAATGATGTAGGAGCTTCCTTGAATTCCACTTCGGAAAAAATAAAAATAAAAAAGAATGAAGTAGGAGCTTCCTTGAATTCCACTTCAAAAAAGACGGAGCTTCCTTCAATTGCCATAGCCTCAAGCTTGAAGTTCAACTTGAAGAAGATGAATAAGAAAGAGCAGCATATTTAACAAAGATGCCGCATATATATATAATATATTAATACTTCTTATGATGCTTTATAACTATTAATGCTGCCTCAAATTTGCACCGCATAAAACCAATTAATTCAGATTCATACACTCATGAAACCCATAGAACAACAGTTGGATCACAAGAGTGAAGGCATTTCACTTCTGTTTTTGAGATTGAGAACCAACCTTTGTAGTCTCTAAATGGGACTTGGAAGTTCTAAATCATTGGTAAGTCATACTTTACACTTCAATTTCTTAAAACAAACATGGTGTATGGTTTAAGATGTATCTGTTTTCTAAAATCTGCATAACCAACTGCATATAGAATAACAGGTAGTCAATTTTAAGTACATTCAGCAATGCCATATTACTTTCTACACTTACATTTGAGATGGAGTTAAATATAACAAGAGCATGGCAATGACTGTGATAAAACAATTCACTCCCTCAGCGAATCTGTAAGAAACCTCACATCATTTTCTGACACATAACCCACAGAGCCAACAGCCAAGTGCCCATAAAAATCTTATGGATCGACAGCAGAGTAATGTGATTCCCCAAAGAAGGGAAGAAGGGGGAAAAATAACTACAATTTGGCATTGCACTGCCTAGTGCGAACCCTACTCAAATTGAGCTTTACCTGTCTCCTCAACCCTACTGCCATGCACATATAAGCAGAAGTGCAAATCAGATTTGTTTTCAGGAAAAGCAAAAAAAAAAGAAGAAGAAGTAGGGTTTAGCAATTAGGCATATACCATGACCCCTTCTGCTGCATCCACAACTACGACAGCCCCGTCGGCCAGCCTGAGAGCAGCAGTCATCTCGTCCGAGAAGTTGACATGCCCTGGTGTATCAAATATATTGCACAGATACGATTTTGCATTGCTGTCCTCAAGCACCAACGACATGGGAACGGCCTTGATAGAGACCCTTCGTTCCTGCTCGTCAATGCGTGTGTCGGTGTACCTCATGTGCTTCTCACTGTCCGGATCGAATGTCTCAATCATATGGGTCTGCTCCACTAGCATGTCCATGAACACTGTCTTCCCATGCTGTAAATGCCCTACGAGAGCAACATTCCGCACAAGCGACGGGTTCGATGCAAGGCCTAAGAGGAATTGTGTCGAGACATAAGTGCTCGAGTCCTTGACACCGATCTCAAACTTGACGTTACGAGGAGGTTTTATAATCGGTTGCTCGAGGGGCTGGGCATCCTCGTCCATGACAAGGGCCTCAACGCCCTCCCCATAGACCTCTTGGGCAGTGGGATAGTATTTTTTGTCTTCTGCCAATACCACTTGGCCGGGGGCTTCGCCTTCAGCAACCTCTCCAAGCCAGTTCTCCGGGGAGCCCGCGCGCGAGGGCGAAGCGCCAGCTGCAGCATCGGGCATCTCATCATCGTCATCAGAAGGTCGGTCATCGGCATCAGAAGCATCTTGGTCAGAGTCGATGTCCGGGCCTATGTAGTTCCCGAACTCGTCGTATAAACTGTCATCCATGGCTGCTTTCTTCCACTAGTCCGTAAAAATGATGATGCAGAGTATGAGTAGTAGGAGGCAGGAAGGCTTTTTCCTTCGTTGGGTTTAGGGTTTTGCGGTGTTGATGTGATAATAGGATGTTGTGGTGAGAATTTAGGAGTTTCGAGTGAGAAATTAGGGTTTTCAAACTCAGAGTTCCACTGCGAGACTCTAAGACTCGCAGAGAGTGATTCTCCTAGAATGCACTAGGACAGAGCGGGAAAGGAGAGACCCGCCTTACTGTCATATATTTGATGGATTTGGACTAAAAATTGTAAAATTGTTTTGAAATTTTTGGGGTTTTCTTTACCAAAGTTTGTTTCTTAATTTCAGAAGTGTTTATCTTATTTCATTATTATTAAGGATTTCTTAAAATGTAGGATTAAAGATGCACCCCAAAAATCCATCGAAAAAAGTTCTAATGTTAAAAAATTATCTAATTGATTATCTTGACATTTTTTGCAAGTTGCAACACATTATCTAGATCGTCCGTTTTCAAGATTTTCATATGCTTATATATTTAGTTGATTTTAACCATTTTTTAAAAATTTTATAATTAGATATGAAAATAGTTTAGATAATCTTAAAAAAAAAAAATTACACCAAAATTACATATTATGATAATATTTGGATGTGCGTCTTAATTGGATTGTTTAGAATAGCAATCTTATAAAATCCACACCCATTAAAGTAAACCGTTTTCTTTTTTCAATTTTTGAATATTTTAAATTGGAAATTTAAGTTTTATTTTGGCCTTGTTTAGAAAGTATAAAGCAATCTTATCAATATTTATATTCTTTTAAAGAAATGGAATAAATTGAATTGAATTTTTGGATATTGTAAAACTTTTGTGGGTGGAATCCCTTCTTAGGGTTATATTTTCCTTTGTCTCGAGGAAAAGAAGGAAAAGACGAGCTATTTTTACAACTTTACCTTGAGGGATGGGAGAAGCCTATCCCCCTCAACTAAGGTTTTTTTAGAAAATAAAAGAAGGCACATGTACATCTCGTCATCATTATAGCCTTATCCTAATTATTTGGGGTCGGCTATATATATCTTGCTCTGCTATTTTACTTTACTAAGAGCGAAACCCTTAATAAGACCATAAGTCTCTATCTCTCTACTGTCTACTTTCATCTAGGCCCGACCTTCTCTCTAGCCTTTTAAACCCTTCTATTTGAACCAAATCGGGGTCTTCTCTATAGCTTTTTAGAGTCTTCTATTTGAACCAAATCGCTCTTCCTAACTGGTGTTGTATCTTGTTTATATTGCACATGACTTATTGCCTATAAAGTGACACATAAGTTCCCCCAAATGTATTCATTTCGATTTCTATTATATCTCGTCGTGTCACTCATCTTATGGGTATGATGTTTGTTTACCACTTAATATTCTGTCACATAAAACAAAGATATCTCACAACTATAACATAGAATTTTCCCTTTAACTTCATTGGTATGCGACAATCATATAAAACTCTAGTTGCACATCTCCACTTTGCCCACCGGCTCTAATTCTATAGTGACATCTTCATCAATCTTTCTATTTTCTTGAATTATTGACCTAAAAATACTCTATTTTGGAAATTTCTTGGCCATCAATCTTAACTACTTCATCATTTCTACTAATATTATTATTAAATTTATATTCTATATATTTTGTATTAGTCTAGTTGATTTTAAAATATTTAGATTCTTGAGCATCCCTCCAAAGTTATAACTTCATGTTACACTACTTCTAGTCTCATTGATCAAAACTATGTTATCTGTGAACAACATACACCACGGTCTTGTCACTCATCCATCTCAACATCCTCATCTCATCTACACTTATCTTATGATGTTTGTTGACCACCAAACATTTTGTTCCATAAAGCAAAGCTGTCTCACAACTATCCCATAGAATATTCCTTTTAGCTTCATTGATATGTGGCAAACACATAAAACTCTAGTTGCACATCTCTACTTTGCTCATTCAGCTCTAATTCTATATGTGATATTTTACTCAATCCCTCTATTTTCCTGGATTATCGACTTGATATATTAAAAGTACTCTCTTTTGAGAATTCTTTGGCCATCAATCTTAACTGCTTCCTCATTTCTACTCATATTTTAGTCTAACTGATTTTTAAAATATTTAGATTATAAAGCATCCCTCCAAAGTTCTACCTTAATGTTACACTACTTTTAGTCTCATCAATCAAAACTATGTCATCCATGAACAACATACATTGTGATGCCTCATCTTGCAGGTACCTAGTTAACTCGTCTACAACTAAAATAAAGTGATATAAGTTTAACATTGATCTCTAATGCAAGCTTATTGTCAATGAAAACTAACATTTCTTTCTACTAGTTTTCTTCACACTAGTTATTGCTCCCTTGTATATAAAATCATATTCTCTTTCTTAGTCTCTCTTTGAAGTACAACTCACTCTATAAAACATATTTTCTTACTCTCTTAAAAGCACCTCTCTCTCTCTCTCTCTCTCTCTCTCTCTCTCGTCGTCCGTACGTCGTACGTACTCTACTACGTACGTACGTACTACGTACCTACCTCCCTACCTACCTACCTACCTACTACCTCTCTCTACT